ACAAAAATGTTTTTAGTATTCAACAAACAAGTAAAACCCCTTTTTTTAGAAATGACTTATTGAAGTCGTTTGAAGACGACGGCGTCTACGCACAAATTTCTTGCCGCACTGGACAACTGGACGCTATGGCTTCTCTCCTGTGTGGTGGCGGCGGAGGTGCGCTCGCAACGCGAATGACTGCGAAAATGAGTCCTGACAAACAGAACACTGGAACGGCTTCTCCCCAGTGTGCGTTCGAAAATGTGAACGAAAATCTCCGACAGTCCAAAATGTCTTGTTGCACTCCGTACACTCAACTTGCTTTCCTGATCATTCGGTGTGGACTCGGATGCTGTGTTGTTTCATGCCCAATGAATGCGCAAACCTTTTGTCGCAAACAGAACACTTGAAAGGTTTCTCTCCAGTGTGGGTCCGGAGATGTGGATTGAGACCCGACGAGGTTCGAAATTTCTTGGTGCACACGGTGCACTCGAAGGGCTTCTCTCCAGTGTGGGTGCGGAGGTGCACAGCTAGAGAGCCAGGCGCCGAACACTTGTAGTCGCACTCGGTGCACTCAAAAAGCTTTTCTCCCGTGTGCGATCGCTGATGTGTGCGCAAATGACTGCTTTGCGAAAACTTTTTGTTGCACACGACACACTCGAACGGCTTCTCCCCAGTGTGGGTTCGGAGATGAATTTTCAGTGTAGCATTTGCACCAAATCTCTTTTGACACACACCGCACTCGAAGGGCTTTTCTCCGGTGTGGATGCGGGTGTGAGCGATAAAAGTACTACTGGTCTCACATTTTTTGTTGCACACAGAACATTCGTATTTGTAGTGCTTTTCTCCAGTGTGCACGCGAAGGTGAGTACGCAGCTTGCTAGACTTCTCAAACTTCTTGTCGCACAACGCACACTGAAAAGGCTTCTCTCTCTCTCCCGTGTGGGTGCGGAGATGCGCTCGCAGACCTTGAGCGGACCCAAACTTCTTGTCGCAGAGCGTACACTCGAAGGCTCGCTCTGATGTGTGTTTCAGCTGGTGTACGCGCAGTTCAGCACGTTCTGGAAACTTCTTGTTGCACAAAGTACACTCGAAGGGCCTGTCCGTGGTGTGCATACGGCGGATATGCACTCTCATATTGCGAGCCAATGCACATTTCTTCTCACAAAAAGTACACTCGTAAGGCCTCTCTCCCGTGTGGGTACGTTCGTGGTTTCGAAGATGTTCACCCCTCTTAAAACTCTTGCTGCAGACACCGCACTGAAATGGCTTCTCTCCTGTGTGTGTCCGGAGATGACCTCGCAATTTCACACTTTCACTAAATTTCCTGTTGCACAGAGAGCACTCGTAGGGCTTTTCTCCAGTGTGCGTCCTGAGATGTGTGCACAGGTTTTGACTCGTCGTGAATTTCTTGTCGCACAGCGTGCACTCGAATGGCTTCTCCCCGGTGTGGGTGAGGTGGTGTCTCTTGAGAGTTCCACTCGTGGCGCTCCTGAAGTCGCAAACGTTGCACCCATAAGGCTTTTCTCCGGTGTGGGTCCGGCTGTGAATGACCAGGCTACCTTTCGTAGAAAATCTCTTGCTGCACACGGTACATTCATTGGGCTTTACTCCTGTGTGAATGCGCACATGCCTTTGCAGCTGATAGCGCTGCGAAAACTTCTTATCACACATTTTGCAGTCGAATGGCTTCTCTCCTGTGTGTGTTCTGAGATGCACTTCTCGCATGCCATTCGTTGCAAATTTCTTGTTGCATACATTGCACTCGAAAGGTTTCTGTCCCGTGTGGGTGCTCAAGTGGATGGCGAGCTTTTCATTGGCGGCAGCTTTCTTGCGGCCGACATCGGATTGGACCGGCATGCTGAAGAGTAGCAACCCTCAAATATGTCTGGAAAAGAAAATATTAAAAAACAAATGTTCTATGTCTACATCTACAAGCATAATGTCATGGTAGAAACACATCTTGGAAAGACTCGGACAGGAAACGAGGCAGACAGTTACTGAAACGGTTGTAGTGGTTTTTTTACGAACAACAACATGCTTCACAGGCGTAATTTGTAGTGCAGTTCTATGCGCAGATTATCTGCAGAAAGAAAACGGAAAGAGGTTGCTTCTCCTTTAAACGTTATGGTTGTCGGCCTTCACCTTACCTCCTTCTGCTCCGAAAGCTGCTCCGTGTCCTCTCTCTCAGCCGGCGTGTCGTCGTACTCTGCGTCGCCAGGGTGATCCTGGGCGCGCTCCGGTTCGTGTTGTGGCGAGGGGGGGGGGGGAGCGGTCTCGGACCCTTCGACGGCGACGGCACGGACAGGACTGTAGTACTGTACGTGGCTGGGTGGGTGGCTGGGCTGGCGCGAAGAGCTCGGGAAACCCGCAGTGGCCGGGATCGCCCTGGCCTGGTCGCTACCCTGGCTGCCAGCTCGGTCGGTCCGGCCACTACCCGGTCGGACAGAGGAGGAGGGGAGTGGCACCAGAGCCCTGCGTTGTGACCCTGGTGGGGCGTCCTTGTCCTTGCCGGCTCATCCCAATAAGTTCCCGTGTGAAATTCAATTCAGAGTCGTCGAAGTAAACGGTGCCGGGAAGCGTTTGTCACACGCGTATCACCTGGAAGCGGTCGCGAATGGGAACATACTCAGGTAGTAGTGTGTGACATTCACGCCACCTTCTCGGCACGCCAAAAACCGTGGGTATTACTGTTACTGCATCACCCTTACCCCCCCCCCCCCCTCCGGGCCAACCTCTCTCTCACATCTCACCCGTCCAATTTTCATAGTGTAACTCAAGCAAACAAAATAAATTCCTTCATAGGTTTTATTTCTTTTCAAAACTTTTTACAAATATTTTCTTTGTTCATATTACAAAAATGTTTTTAGTATTCAACAAACAAGTAAAACCCCTTTTTTTAGAAATGACTTATTGAAGTCGTTTGAAGACGACGGCGTCTACGCACAATTTTCTGGCCGCACTGGACAACTGGACGCTATGGCTTCTCTCCTGCGGGGTGGCGGCGGAGTAGGTGCGTTCGCAACGTGGATGAATGCGAAAATGAGTCCTGACAGACAGAACACTGGAACGGCTTCTCACCAGTGTGCGTTCGAAGGTGTGAACGTAACTCATTGTCTGTCCAAAAGTTCCCGTCGCAAACCGTACATTTGACTTGCTTTCTTGAGGAGTCTGTGTGGACTCGGATAACGTGTCCTTTCAGGCTCGAAGAATGCGCAAATCTTTTGTTGCAAACAGAGCACTCAAAAGGTTTCTCTCCGGTGTGGGTTCGGAGATGAACTTTCAGTTTTCCACTTTCACTAAATTTCTTTTTGCACACACTGCACTCGAAGGCCTTCTCTCCTGTGTGTGTGAGGTGGTGGCTGCGCAGATAACTACTGTCGGTAAATTTCTTGTTGCAAAAAGAACACTCGAAGTGCCTGTCTCCGGTGTGGACACGGCGGATATGCGTTTTCATACTGCTTCTTAGTGCAAATTTCATGTCACAGACAGTACACTCGTGAGGCTTCTCTCCTGTGTGGGTTTGGAGATGACGTCGCAATGCCCAACTTCCACTGAATTTCCTGTTGCATAGAGAGCACTCGTAGGTCTTTTCTCCTGTATGCGTTTTTAGATGTTCGCGCAGGTGTGCATTCGACATGAATTTCTTGTCGCACAGCGGACATCCGAAGGGCCTCTCCCCGGTGTGGGTGCGGAGGTGTAACTTGAGACTTCCAATCATGGTGCACCTGTAGTCGCACACGTTGCACCCGTAAGGCTTCTCTCCGGTGTGGGTCCGGCTGTGGACGAGCAGGCCCTTTTTGTCAGCAAATTTCTTGCCGCACTCGGTACATTCAGCGGGCTTTTCTCCTGTGTGTGTGCGCACATGTCTTTGGAGATCACCGCTTTGCGCAAACTTCCTCTCACACACTGTGCACTCGAAAGGTTTCTCCCCCGTGTGGGTTCGGAGATGCACTTTCCGACTGTGACTGTTTGCAAATTTCTTGTTGCAAACATTACATTCATACGGCTTCTCTCCTGTGTGGATGCGCATGTGTATACGAAGCGTACTGCTACCCTGAAGTTTCCTGTTGCATACGGGGCATTCGTGTTGAGACTGATGTTGTTCTCCCGCGCGATGGTGAGAACGCGCACAGCCACGTCGCGCAAACTTCTTGTCACACAACGCACCTGCACCGCGCTCCCTTCTTTCACCATAGGGCTTCTCCCCGGTGTGGGTGCGGAGGTGTAACTTGAGACTTCCACTCGTGGTGCACCTGTAGTCGCACACGTCGCACCTGAAGGGCTTCTCCTCGGTGTGGGTTCGGAGGTGTACCTGGAGACTTCCAC